GGCTATTCAAGGTATTTTGTGGTCCCATATGAATTTTGGAATTATTTTTTCTATGTCTGTCAAAAAAAATGACAGAGTTTTAGTAGGGATTGCCCTGAATCTATAGATCTTGTTGGGTGGTAAGAACATTTTAACAATATTAATTTTTCCAGTCCATAAACATGGAATGTCTTTTCATTTATTTGTGTCTTCTCTAATTTCATTTATCAAAATCTTACAGTTTTCCATGTATAAATCATTCATCTCCCTGGCTAGAGTGATTCCTAAGTATTTTGTTCTTTTTAATGCTACAGTATAAGGTATTATGTGATTTCCTTTTTGGATAGGTTGCTTCTAGTGCATAAAAATATAACTGACTGTTTTTGGCAGACAACTGTACTTGACTGTTGCTTTTGTATTCTACAACTTTCCTGAATTAGTACTAATAGTTTTTTGGTGTAGTCTTCAGAATTTTCTACATATGAAATCATGCCATCTGCAAACAGAGATAATTTTACTCCTTCCTTTCCAGTCTGAATGCCTTATATTTTTCTCGCCTAATTTCTCTGGCTAGGACTTACAGTACTATTTTGAATAGAAATAGCAAGAATAGTCACTCTTGTCTTGTTCCTGGTCTTAGAGGAAAGCTTTCAGTCCCCCCACCACTATATATGTGAAATCTGTCTGTACGACTGCATCTGACATGCTCTTTTGGTGCCATCTAGCAAGCTGCAGACTCACTGCACTAACAACACATGGGTATTCTACAAATTGTTATAAATTACTCATTATAATAAAATTAAATTGCTTTTAAAAATATGCTCACATTATCACAAGAAATTTTAATATTTGTAAACAAGAAAAACTGTTAGATTCTTTATTAGATGTACTTTCAACTATTATAAAGTTCTAGTACTTTTCTTAAAACATGACAACATAAATTTGAAAACATTCTTAGTTTGTTCAGGTTACTATAGCAAAATATATAAACTGAGTAACTTATGAACAACAGAAATTTATTTCTCACAGTTCTGGAGGCTAGGAAGTCCAAGATCAAGGCAGATGTGATGTCAGTGAAGGCTCACTTCTGATTCATAGATAGCTCCTTCTAGTTCTGTCCTCACATGATGGAAAGGATGAGGGGTCTCTTGGGAGCTTATTTTATAAGGGCACTAATGCCATTCATGAAAACTTTATCATATAATCTGATCACATTTCAAAGGCCCCACCTCCTAATACTATCACCTTGGGGTTTAGAATCTCAGCACATGAATTTGGGGGGACACACACATTCAGATCATGGCAAAGATAATGCCAAAATTGAAATATATATATATTTTCAGCACTTATGGGAGATAAGTGGCTGGTGACTAATATAGAAAGAGTTCTTACAAATCAACAAAAAAGATTAAATTAACACCATTTGGCCCTGCTCTTCAAATACTCTATCTAAGGGTGGGGGCACTTGAAAGGTATTTGCAGTTATCTGCAGAAAGATAACCTCTTTGTGTCACCCACGATTTCACAGTTCCCTGTATATACTCTATGCTAAACAGTTACTTGATAGCTATGTGATGGCAGTGATGTTGAAAAAGTCCAATCCACTGTGTTTCTCAGCCTTCCCATCAGCACAATGAGAAACTTGAATTAGATGAACTCTCCGTTCAATTCCAGATCCGGTTACCTATGACTTTTGTTCTGGAGATATAATTTACATACTATAAAATTCACCATTTTAAAGTGTACAAATCAGTGTTTTTTAGTATATTCACAAAGCTGGGCAACCATCACCACTATCTAATTCTGGAAGATTTCCAAAAGGAAACCAATTAGCAGTCATTCCCCATTTCCCATTCTTCCCAACCCCTGGCAACAACTAATCTACTTTCTATCTTTGGATTTGCCTCTTCCATATATTTCATATAAATGGAATGCAACATGTGGTCCTTTGTATTTGACTTCTTTTAGCATAATGTTTTCAAGGTTCCCCATGCTATAGCATGCATCAGTATGCCATTCTTTTTATGAATTAATAGCACTCCATTGTGTAAATATGTATACTATATTTTGTTTATCAATTCATCAGTCAATAGATATGTAGGTTGTTTCCATACTTGGACTATCATGAACAATGACTTTTTTATGGTGCCCAAGAGATTTCAATGTGAGAAGCGGAAGATAAAGCCTGGGGTATGTGGGAACCCATATGGATATGTTAACCCATTGGTTAACTAGATCCTTTTTCAAAATCAATATGTCTATAGGAGTGTAACATTGAAAAAGAAGCGATGTCATCATCAGCTGCTCCTAGAAGCATTGTAGTTCTCTAAGCTTGAAAAGAGAAGCCTCTGTTAGAACAGCCTCTGGCACACAGATGCACCCAGCATGTACCAGTCTCATAGGAGGTCCCCAGTAGGTGTTAGATAGATACAAAAGAATCTACAGACACAGCCAAAGAAAAGAGGCCAGAAGTTGTTGTTGTTGTTTTTCTTCCCCAATGCAAGCCCAGAAATCCACAGCACAAACCATTCTCAAGCCAGGAGGAAACAACACAGAAGATGTTTCCATAACCCCTTGCATCACAGTTTCAAAATCAGGCTACATTTCAAGTAACTAGTGATCTGAAGCCTAATCATATAAATTTAGGACTGCTTGAGGGGAAAGGATAGCAGCAGAGCCACTTACCCCTGGATTGTTTCAATGAGCTCAGACTCCTGCATGTCTCACTTCCCCAGCCACCATGTGTTGCTGCCCCTGTAGAGAGGACAAACTCCCAAGAGAGAGGGTATTCCAGAGAACTCATCTGTGCCTGCCAGGATGTTTGAGGAAATATTCTCTGCTCCAAAGATATGAGTGAAGCCTCATTTGTGACTTTTTCAGGAATCAGCTTTGTGCATTGAAGTCTCCAGGTGACTTCCAAGGAAATTTTATATCAATTACATGTGTCTAAAGCTCAATGCTTTGTGACCAGTGAGGCTATGTTCCTAGTCATGGATTCTGTCATGGTCGACTGCCCCACCTTGAAGACCAAGTTCCTGGTGTCTGATAAGTACTATGATAGGTGGGTGGATTTCAAGGAGTTGATTCAGCAAGTAGACACTGAAAATGAGAAACGTAAATCAAGAAAATGTCTGATTTTGGAAGACGGAATGTTGTATGAGAAGTTGGTGTGAGTGGTAGTAATGAAAAGCTTGCTGGCAATTTGTAGTCCTGAAAAAACAACAACAACAACAACAAAAAAAAAACAGAGTTAACTCCTCAACACCTCCAATAGAAGAAATCTTGGTCTAGTCTACACGTTCTCAGAGTGAAAGTCTCATCTTCTGATTAATACTTTACCATTCATTCTGAGGTGGTAAAGAAATAGGTGATAAAAATATAAACGCATTACAAAAACATGATAAAAAGCTTATATGTAAAAAAATATATATAATTATATAATGGAATACTATTCAGCCATAAAAAAGAATGACTTCATGTCTTTTGCAGGAAGTTGGATGGAACTGAGGTCATTATCTTAAGTGAAATAACAGAAACAAAGTCAAATACTTCATGTTCTCACTTATAAGTGAAAACAATGTAATGTGTACACACAGATATAGAGTGTACAATGATAGACACTGGAGACTCAGAAAGGTTGGAGGTTTTGAGTGGGTGAAGAATGAGAAATGAGCTAATGGGTACAATGTACAGTATTTTGGTGATGGTTACACTAAAAGCCCAGATTTCACCATTATGTAACAAAACTGGGCTTGTCTTCCTTAAATTTATAAAAATTAAAAAAAAACTCACCGGCACTGGGCTATGAGAAAATACACATTAAAACAATGAAATGATGCCATGTGAATCCTCAGGTTAGCCAAATACAGTAGCCCCTCCTTAACTTTGGTTTTGTTTTCTGCGGTTTCAGTTACCTGTGGTCAACCATGGTCTAAAATAGTTGAGTACGGTACAATAAGTTCCCAGTTTTGAGAGAGAGAGATTACATTCACACAACTTTCATTACAGGATATTGTTGTAATCGTTCTATTTTGTTATTTTTAATTTCTTACTGTACCTAATTTATAAATAAAATGTCATAATTATGCGTATATAGGAAAAAACATAGTATATATAGGGTTCAATACTATTTGTGGTTTCAGGAATTCACTGAGAGTCTTGGAACATATCCTCCAGGGATAAGGTAGGACTACGGTATTAAGTTTGATAATTATAAATGGGGTCTTTAGAGGGTAATATTTTAGTGTCCAGAGATGTTAAGAAGAAGAAAAAAAAAAAAGACAGTGAACAAAACAGACAAAGCCCCTACCCTCATGGCTTTTATATTCTAGACAACAAAATGGACAAGAAGAAAACACGTAAATGGTCAAGACAATAGTTTCCTAAAGAAACTCAGAACCAAAACATGCACATTAAATAGAGCGATCTGATGTGCAGATGGGGGAATTATTTTAGATTTGGTGGCTTCTCAGGAGAGGAAAAGCTGAGATTTGAATACTACAGAGCCAGCCTTTTGAATATCTGTAGGAATAATATCAGAGAGAATGCTAATGTAAAGGACCTGAGTGGGAAAGAGCTTGGCTTGTTTGAGGAACAGAAAGAATGCCAGGGTGCCTGAAGTGTGGTGAGTGGAGAAGAGAATGGGACGAGAGGCGGTTGAACAGCAAGGAAGCGCGAGATTACAGTGGGTCTTGTAGGTCATATGGGAGTTGTCTGTGGAACATGGAGGAGAAGGACTTGATCTGAATGACAGTTTAAAAACTCCTTCAACTGCTGTATGAACAATGAGAGACAAGAGAGGTAGTAAAGGGACCTGGCAGAAGGCTGTTGTAGTCGTCCAAGTGAGAAGCCGTGTTGGTGTGGACCATGATGGTAGCAGTGGAGACAGAACTGGGAACTGGCAGGGCAAATAAGGAACTCGCCTCAGGCACAAAATGTAAAGGGGCACTGAAAAATTCAGTGATCAAGAGAAATAATATTTTAATTTTCAAATACATTTTAAATATCAAATTTTTGGAGGCAGCCATCTTGCTCTTGCCGCGTGCTTGTGTTGGAGGACCCTCCCTGCTTCAGATTTACCAGCAGCATGAATCAAGAAAAGTTAGCCAAACTTCAGGCTCAGGTCCGGATAGGGGGCAAGGGTACAGCTCTCAGAAAGAAGAAGGTGGTACATAGAACAGCTACAGCTGATGACAAAAAGCTTCAGAGTTCTCTAAAAAAAACTGGCTGTGAATAATACAGCTGGTATTGAAGAGGTGAACATGCTTAAAGATGACGGGACATTTATTCATTTCAACAATCCCGAAATCCAAGCTTCCCTTTCTGCTAACACCTTTGCAATTACTGGTCATGCAGAAGCCAAACCCATCACAGAAATGCTTCCTAGAATATTAAGTCAGCTTGGTGCTGACAGCTTAACAAGCCTTAGGAAGTTAGCTGAACAGTTCCCACAGCAAGTCTTAGACAGTAAAGCACCAAAATCAGAAGACATTGATGAGGAGGAGGACGATGTTCCAGATCTTGTAGAAAATTTTGATGAGGCATCAAAGAATGAAGCTAAGTAAAATTTTGGTTTTTGGAAGCTGGCGTGGACTAGATTTAACAAATCAGCTATGTGGTTCCAAAGTTTTACAGACTCAAAGAACAATACCTGTTACTAGTTACTAGTTCAGTAATATAAATATTTTGTATATTAATAATGCTGTTTGTTCAGCATTTTTTGGTCATTTGATTTTGCATTTTGCACTTCCTCCCAGGATATTTTTTTTTTTGGTTAAAATATGAAGTATTGGTGCAGTTTGAGGGTGTTTTGGTTTTTCATTCCTGGTTTTTTTGTTTCTTTGTTTGAGGTATTTTTGGTGTGTGTATGTTTATGTATGTGTGTGGGTATGTGTGTATACAGTGGAGAGCAAATTGGAAAACAGTTCTATTTATCCTACTCCCTCCCCAGCAGAAATAAAAAAAATCTTTAAATGTGTTACTTTTCTTTTTCTCCCATAAGACACAGAATTAATGGAAAATGAGTATCCTGGATTTGAGATCTGAAGAGATTTTTACCATTACTGGTTTGATTTTAATTTGCTTGGTTAGCTATCATATTTTTCATACACTTCTCTGGGTTTAAAATGTCTTGAGGTATTTTGCCACTGGCTTCATGCTAGAGTAATGGGTAACATATCTTTGGTATGGTTGCCTTAGATTCGCTTACCTAGTCAGGCCTAGAATAACTTCTTTTACTAGCTTGCTTCCCGAATGCCTTTTTTTTCCCTCTCCTTTTGGTTTCCAAATGGCCTGTTCAGTCTTTGGTAGTATTCTTACTCATCTTCCACCTAGCTTGAGAAGGATGTTCTCCATATAGAGTTAAGCGAATGCCTAATCGCTCCTTTTGTAAAATTTTGTTCCCTTATCTTGAGGAACAACAGCTTCATCTTTAACTCTTTATTTCTCCCTGATTTTGCAGTTTGGTAGATTTCTTTTCTTTTTTCTCGTTGCCCAGGCTCGAGTGCAATGGCACAATCTTGGCTCACTGCAACCTTCACCTCCTGGGTTCAGGCAATTCCCCTGCCTCAGCCTCCTGAGTAGCTGGGATTACAGGCATGTGCCACCACGCCTGGCTAATTTTTGTATTTTTAGTAGAGATGGGGTTTCTCCATGTTGGTCAGGCTGTTCTTGAACTCCTGACCTCAGGTAATCCACCTGCCTCGGCCTCCCAAAGTGCTGGGATTACAGGTGTGAGCCACCATACCCAGCCTACAGTTTGGTAGATTTCAAACTAGAATAGCTAGCATGTGCTTGCTAAATAATTTTATCCCAGCCTTATCCTATATCCTAGCTATTCTTAATAGCAGGTACAACAATGCCTCTTTTTCAGCAAGGTCGAAATTGGGAATGTCCTTTTGAATGAGAAGAAAATAGGCCATAAACATTCCCCAGCACAAATGGCCATTCTGTGAAATGGTACTGGCCCGAGGAAGATTTCCTCAGCCACTCTCCTACTGTTGGCCTTGAACCTACCTCTGGGTTGGATTTTATTATTGTAGCTGCTTACTATACCCTCCTGCATGCTTAGAATAATGCTTTGGGGGGAGCACTGGTAAAACACAGTATTTTTTTTTTTAACCTCCTTTAAGAGGACTTGGGGGTAAGTTGCATTCATTCACTCAAGTTTCCCTTTGCTGTCTAATAAAAGCTTGCATTTTGCTATACTAGCATTTGTTTATAGCCAATATTTAAGGATAAAATTTAGAAAATACATCAATTCCTGGCCCATCATCGCACTAATACAGCTTCACCTTGCAGCTACCAACTTTTGTGTCAAGCTAGATATCTTTATTTGATATCTAACGTGCAAGACCAACAATATATTAAGAGATCTATAGAAATGAAGGCAAAGCTCTTGTATTTTTTTCATCCAAACACCTCAATTTATTTTATACATTTGTTCATTTTTCCTGTTATGTTTTATATAATATATGGACTTAACAGAATAAAATAACAGTAATAAAATAACAGATAGAAAAAAAATAAATAAATATCACATTTTAAAAACTTTTCATAATTGAAGTTTTAAAATTTGTGTATAGTTTTACATGTTTATTTTATGTATTTATATACCTTTTTAATTTATAATTTTATAAATTTTATGTTTTTAATAAAATTTATTTTAATTAAAAAAATCATTTTGGCAAACTTCTGCTGACAGCTCATCTGCTTCTATTTTTATAAATAAAATTTTATTGGAACCAGAGACAAGATTAGGATGACCAAGTAAGGTGAGTCATGTGCTGCCTGGTTGGATTTCAGGCTGCGTGAGACCTATACCTTGAAGCTGGCTGGGCTGAATCCCATTCCCAGGCCATACTGGAAATATTTGACCACTTTGGGAACATTCACTGTCATGTATTTATTTTAAATTTTGAGGCCGGGCATGGTGGTGGCTCATGCCTGTAATCCTAGCACTTTGGAATGCTGAGGCAAATGGACCACTTGAGGTCAGGAATTTGAAATCAGCCTGGCCAACATGGTGAAACCCCGTCTCTACTAAAAATAAAAAAAAAAATTAGCTGGGTGTGGCAGTGGGTGCCTGTAGACTCAGCTACTTGGGAGGCTAAGGCAGAAGAATTGCTTGAACCCGGGAGGTGGAGGTTACAGTGAACCGAGATCACACCATTGAACTCCAGCCTGGGTGACAGAGCGAGACTTCATATCAAAAATAAATAAATAAATAAATTTGATATTTTATTTATCATTAATTTTTGACATTAGTTTTGATTGTCTTAAAATATTTCACTAGAATATTACTTTTCTTAACTACTGAATTTGCTGGTATCACCTTAAATATTATGTCTGTCACAAATGTTTCACTTGCTCCACTTTAGTCCCAACCCTGAGTACAGATAATGAAGAGAGACAGACTTGTGACATGTTGTAGAGTTAAAGTTGTCAGGGCTTGCCAGTGGTTAGGATGTGGCATAGATAGCTGGGTAGATAAGTAGATAGATAAGTAAATAGTGACAATAAGGCCTGTAGACCCAGCTACTTGGGAGGCTGAGGCTGGTTGTGGGTGTAGAAGCTCCTACCTCTTTCCATTCTTGGAGGCACCAATAACTCTACTGTCAGCCAGATTAGATTGTCTTCCACGGGCAAAAAGCTCTTTCAGCAGAGCTGTATTTCATTATGTCACTGCTTACAAACTGGCCTGAGATCTTTTCCTTGATACAGGATTTTTTTGTGGAAGTGCCAAGATGCAGCCAAACACACTCCAACTTTCTGAATTTTTCTATTAATTTCTCCAATGGGTATAAGCTCTGAGAGCATTCAGTCTACTACCTAAAATATCACAGACAACAGTTTTGCAAACTTTTTGTCAAAAGGAAAAAGCCACCACAGTTTCAGCCTGTCATACCAGTGTCCTTGCCAACCACTGCCTGCCTGTTAGACCTAATGGCATTTATTTTAGATTCTGTTCTATCAGCAGCCACTTCTATACCAAATTCTGTTACCGTTTGGATGTATAGATCTGGTTTCTCTAACAGGGGCCAAAAATAACAGTGGCTTAAACAACATGTATTTCTCTTTTACGTCACAGTCTGTGCATACGGCCAGACCTGGAATAGTGACCCCATCATGACTTAGGTCTGCAGGATCCTATCTTGCTTCTCTGACACTCCTCATCTACAAGATCTAAGATGGCTCAAAACACCTGGCCTGCTTCTAGACAGCAAGAAAACGGAGTGGGGGAGGGAAGAACTTTTTTTCTTTTAAGGCTATACAACACTTCCACTTTCATTCTACTAATCATAATTTACTCATATGGTCATGACATCTTAAAGCCTTCTGCAAAGCCATGTACCCAACTAAAACTTAGAAGTTTTCTTACTGTGAGAGAGAAAGTAGGAATGAGTATTGGGAAGCAACAAGCAACCTTGTCTCTACTCTGTACCTGCCACTTTCTCCTCAACTCATGGTCATCTGGGCTTCGGCGCTTACCTCTCATTTGTTACAGCCCCACTGAGGTCTCATCCCTCTTGTCATAGACCAACACAAATTGATATTTCACTTCTTGCTCCCACTGTAACAACTGATCCATGGTATCTGTCCCTCACCTTCAATATCAAATCAATCGCCAAGACCTCTCAGTTGTACCTCTGTAAGCATTTCTTGAATTTTTCCATTATCTCTATTCTCAGGCAACCAACACAGGCCAGGCTCCTATCTGTTCTCATGCACAGCCTTCTAACTGATCTTTTCACTTTTACCACCTCCCATCCTCATTTCCCCTACAATTCATTTTCAGTCTCCAAAAATAATGTTTTTGTTTTTCTTTTTCTTTGAGACAAGGTCTCGCTCTATTGCCCAGGCTGGAGTGAAGTGGCATGATCACGGTTCACTGCAGCCTCTACCTCCCAAACTCAGGTGATCCTACCCTCTCGGCCTCCTGAGTAGCTGGGACCACAGGTGTGCGCCACCAGGCCAGGCTAATTTTTGTTTTGTTTTGTTTTGTTTTGTTTTGTTTTTTGTTTTTGTAGAGACAGGGTCTTGCTGTGTTACCCAGGCTGGTCTCAAACTCCTGGTTTCAAGAGATCCTCATGCCTCAGCTTCCAAAAATGCTGGGATTACAGGCATGCGCCACTGCGCCCAGCCAATGGTGGTCTTTTTAAGAATGCAAAGTTCATCATGTCAGTTACTGATTAAAATTCCCCAATAGCTCCCCAGTGATTTCAGGGAGAAGTATAAGGTTCTTAACCTGGTTTGCAGGGTCATGCCTCCAGCATTACCTCTTAAGACAAGAACAATTTCCCCCTCACCTATTTTCTCCAGGCACACTGAAGTAGCATTTACTTATCTATACCCCAGGTCTGGTATCTCTGGCCCTTTTCATATTATCCCTCTGCCTGAAACATCCGCTCTCATGCACTTATTTATCTAATGCCTATTCATTCTAAAACTCTCAGCCTAAACATTACTTCATCTCTGAAGAATATCCCCAAGACTATTTGTCCTTTCTAAATACTCCCACATTTTTG